GTCAGAGTTATGTTGCAGCTTGGTTTGGCATGCTCTTGGCAGTGCCTCAGTTGTGTTCTTGCCTTTCCATTTGGACAAAGACTTCTTCTGAAAACCTGTCCCAACCCGTATGAGGACTAGACCTTAGTCTAGTTTCTCATTTACCTTACTTTCATAGCCAGTTAGAGCAAAGAGCCTTTTCCTGAGATAGAATGATGGAATACACAAAATAAATGGGCTAGAATGTGGTTCTGATGAATCCAGTGGGCAGGACGTATGTGCACATACCTGCAGATTTTCTCTCCCCGACAGTATTTAGAGAACAGAAAGACATTTAATTTACATCGTCCATTCATTCTCCACACATTGGAGAAATATTTAGTGTCCTCTCCTGCTTTGAGACATAACTACACAGACTTTTAACTATCTCTTGTACCCACACTTTCAGGTCTGTTGTCCCTTTGTCTTCGTCCCTCCTCAACAGCTGGCACAATGACCTTTGTGACTCTTGTTGCAGTCTTGTTGCAGCCTGAAGAAGTCCATAAATGCAGGGCTTGTCCACACTTTCACTGAGCAGCCTTTGCTGAAGAAGTTCAGCAGGAGGTGACAGCTGTGTGCGTAACCTTAAGCACAACCTCCTCTATATCCTTCTTCTCCGTTTTCATCCTATTCTGAGGGTGGAGTGGTCAACCAGCTGTCCTGTGTGGATCACACCTGTACTGAACAGGAATCACATCAATCTGCCAGCCTGTCGGTTCTTCCGTCCGACCTGGACAAACATATGTCACCAGTCATCAGCTGTGTTTTCTACCAACAACTAGGTTCCTGTTGGATCGTTCAATTGTTCAAGTGTATTCCAAAGCAAACATCATTTAAAGCAGGTCACATGGATAAAAGAAGGATCAACCAGTTGTTGTTTAACGTGCAAGTTTTTGTACTAACAGGATATATGTGGTCAGTCATCCATTAAATTGCAGTATAAACTATTTGTTGCCATTTTTATCAGCAGAGAAATCAGCCTTGCCCTGCTCACAGAAACTCTCCTATAGATACAAAGATACATACCCTGTAGAAAACTGTTTACTTTAGTATGAGGCAATGTTTCAAAGACCTTCAGGTATGTCTTTATTGTCTGACAACCTCTCAGAAGTGCAAAAGCATCTTATCTTTGTGTGAGCATGATGTTATTTACTCTATGATTTGTGGTGCATTTTCTGCTTAATTTTTCAAAGTTGTTATTTAGCTGTTTTCATATCTCCAGTAGTAGAAGTAATACTTTGACAGCCCAACTAAATGAGCTGTCGAGAAAAATTCCTCATGGTGTTTAGAAAATAACACGATACAGAGTTTAGATGTTAGACATGACGATTTAGAATCTCATTAGCCTAGAAGGATCGCATTTGAGCCGGTGGGTGTACCATGTTTGGGGAAACCCCAGACTGGTTGTATTTCCAGGGAGGATAGTAGATGTACCTGGATAGCTGGGGTCTCTACTGAGCCTTAAGGCAACAGAATTAAGTGTTGAGGTCTATTTGGGCCTGCAGTTGACTTCACAAATGCAAGATGAAAAATGTACACAAAATCAGTTTAAAGTGTATTGCATATATTTAACACTTTTTTGCCAGAAGCACACATAAATTTACACCCTCTATATATAGAGGGTCTGTGTGTGTGTTTTTCTGTTTGCTTTTTGTGTAACAAAGCCTTCAGACAGTTCAGCAGCTGGAAAGCTCCTGGGGACTCCACTATACCACAGAGTTGTGTGAGAACTCTCCCAGGCTTTGTTCAAGAGTCATTCAGACTGGAGTGTTTATTTTAAATGTCCCCAAGGCCTTTCAGAGCAGCAAAGTGTCTAAGCATTTTAAATGGCTCCAAAAGATGTTTACTTGCCAAATCCTTCACTATTTACTCTTAGCAAATCTTGATTTTTAGTGATTCCCTGATTTATTTTTTTTTCACATATCCTGCGACAAACTTGGGTTTTTACTCCTAACACCAATTTAGAAAGGAAAACAACCATGAATCATTTATCATTTAACGCTTTACAATTATGGTATTCACAGGAAGTTTAATTGCAGAACTGTAAACTCATCTCACCGTACTTCACAAGTGATTGTGGGTTTTCAGTGTAACATGACGCTCAGGGGAGTTGTGTGGGTTCAGTTCTGGAGAATTTTGCAACATTGGAGGTAAACCTAACCGTTTATGGAAGTGTAGCTACACTTTGCTGTTTGTCAGCCACACTCTGCTGCTGTATTTCCCTGTATACTAAAACGAGTGCGGAAGCCACGATTGGGAATCAACAAGGAGCAAGTGTCGTGTTTTTTTTAGTAAAAGCCCGAATACTGGCAATAAAGTAACATTTAAAACAGTGAATGAAAATGGTAAATGTTTTCACAAGTGTATTAGAGGAAAGGCGCACCAGTGTAACTGTGCGTTGTGGCCGAGACGCATACACAAATATTTTCAGTGTGAGGTTTCTTTGACTCTTTTGCTCAGTCCATGACTAGTCAGATTCAGTGTGAGAGACGTTACAACCAATGACATCACCAGCTCATAACTCAGGCCAGCAGCAGGCAGGAAGCCTGAAAGAGCAGGAGGGATGGTTGTTCTCTGGTGGAGGAGTGGAGGGTGGACACTGAGAGAGGCCTACATGACTATAACAGAGCACCTCACTGTACTCTCCCTCTCGCTCTCTCTCTCTCGGTCTCTGTCTCTCTCTTTCTGTTTCTCACTGACTTCCTTTCTTTCACACTGTTCATTTCTTTCTGTTGATGATGTCATTTTCGTGCCGAGCCAGACCTCCAGCTCGCTGGAAGTCTGGCCTTCTGGAAGGGGTGGTGTTTGTGTTCTCAGAACCGAAGAGGGAGAGACGTGGTAGAAAAGTGAATCCGGGGGAACCAGCCCTATGTGCATGATAAACAGCTGAGCCACGGGGACTGCGTCGGTGTCTGAGGGACCGGCTGTATCGATCATGGCGGTGACTCATTCTGCTCATGTCACCGCTTCTCAATTCTGGGCTGGAACGGCAGAGTTGCAGCTGTAAACTCGCACATAGTCCTTCTGGGCCTGTTCAAGCTGTGGAGAGAGGGAGAGTGTCCAGCATATTGTGATGTCAGCCACAGGCCCTGCGCTTGTGCCAAAAATAAGGGGGCAACAAGGTCAAAAAGATATCTGAGATTATGTGAGGCTAAATTCATATGGAGGCTGCTGTGCGAGCACAAGCGTATGGACTGCTCGCCATAAAGTGAAGTCTTGGCAGTATAGCATCTTGGCTTGCGGCAAAACTGACTAAGACAGGTATGTATAGCCTCAGGGTACAAAAAAAAAAAAAAAAGCTTCTCGCACTGTTAGTCCTAGTTGTGCTATTCAGACTATTCGGATGCGCTGAAGAAGCACAGCATCCCCTGTGGCTAAGCTACAGAGTATCGATCCAGACAGCTGTTGAGATGAGAAGGTTGTCCCTCTCCACAGGGTCGTCACTGTTCGAGTCACTAGTCTGTCTCTGTGATAAACTCGAGCTCCTTGTCTTCCTTCTGTCTCCCTCAATCCTGCCTGGCTGACTAGATGGTGTTTTATCTCTGTACGCCACCGACAGTGTGAAATGAAGAGGCACCATGAAGGGGCTGCTATCTCTGTCACATAGCAGCTTTGCCTCTGTATTGACACAACAGGACGGCCAATGAAACTGACAACATTTTTTAGTCTTGTCACATTAGTTGCGGTTTGTGCAAACAAATCAAGCATATTTTTGTAAGAGCATTATTTTTGCCCGTCATGTAAGTGATTGATATGACCTATTTGGGTGTTAAGAACTGGGTCAAATGCAGATTAAAGGTGATGAACGGTCATGAAATACATTTCCAGTAACTTTGCAGTATATTGAGTCAGTTATGCAACACAAGCAACTTACTAATGCTTACAGAACAGCCAGTTCTGGTTTATTTTTGCACAACACTGAGATAAGATTTTTTTTTTTAAAATGCAGTGTAAAACAAGAGCCTGAGGGGTCACGCATGCCTCATCTCATGCATTCGTATCGGGAGGAAACTCCACTGGAAGTGTTCTCATCAACGTTTTTAATGAGACACACAGCCGCCCTTGGCTGCCTCAGCGAACTTTGGCTTTTGCTCGGAGTAAGGGATGATGGGGATTAGGGGTGGGGAGAAAGAACAGTAGGGTGGATATGTGCGTGGCATGTTGATCGATGGTGCAGATGAAAGCGGTGCCCGACTGGAAGTCTGGTTTGTGGTGTTTTCCTGCTGTTGATTGCTATTCAGCATTCACTGTTTTTACGCTGATGGCCGTGGAATGCCAGAACCCGCTGTCATTGAGCTGAGGGGAGATTACAGCAGATAGAGGTGTAATTTTGTCGCTGATAAAACCCACGCTTCCTGTCGGCTCCCGCTGCTGTTATTAGTATTTATCTCCTGATTCAGTTTGGTGCGGAGATAGAGGGAGGGACAAAGAGGTGAAGGGACGCCGTGAGCGAGCAGTCAATTATCCTGGGATTAACGGAGTGGGAACTCTTCTCTCCCTGGATACAACGAGCACTCTCTACAGTGAACAAGTTGAATTTTGCTAAATTACTCCGCCATTATGAAGCCACTTTCAATAATGTACCATAAAGCAATTTTCATCCCAGCACTAACTAGAGTATTTTATTATAACCACACTTGTCTGCTCTGTCCTTGTCTCTCACACGCACACATCTGTGCACATAATGGGCTGCTGGAACTGCCTGTGCAACACATTTATGTTGGGAATAAAAAGAGCATAGGGAATGCAGAGGTTGTAAATACTTGGCAAAAATCTCAAACTTTTCAGTTTTGTCCTGGTGTCTTGCTGGTGTTCAGCTCTTCACTTGAGTTTAATTTTAGAAGAGCGGCATTGTGTGATAGTGATATCAGCACTTCAGTGAGCTTGTGCCATCTGTTTTTATCTCATTTCTATTCCCCCCCTGAGAAATCTCTCCTCCTTCACTGACCACTCAACTTCCTCTGTTTTCCTTCTGCCCATAGACTCGCAACGGTCCCATCTGTCCACTTTCACCATGATACTGAAGGACAAGTTCCATTCTCCCAAGATCAAGAGGACTCCATCCAAGAAGGGCAAGCAACTTCAGCCCGAGCCAGCAGCCAAGAGCACAGAGAAACCTGCTAACAAGGTGTGTATGCAGTCTTGGGCCAGAAAATATGTGTGTGTTGTGGGAAATCCATCTCTTTCCCACCTACTGCGTGTGTTTGTTTGACTATTTGTGAGACTATTGTTTTCCTGCCTAATGTTTTGTGCTCCCATATTCCATTGTGTCTGTGTGTGCGCGAGTTTCCCTGCTGGTTCCCACAGCCTCCCAGTCGCTGTGGTGGCTGGCTGCGCTACAGCAGGTGTCTAAACCTATAAAGACATGAATGGAACCGGGCCGCTTCCTGAATGAACTCCTCTGCTCCCTCTCAAGGCTTTCGGTGTAATGAGTATATTCCCCCAGCATCCCTGCTGTGAAAGACTAGAGAAGCTGAAAGAGCTCTTTGCAGTAGTACCAAGACCGCTCCAAGCCACATCACTTGATAGAGTGCGCTTTGAAATGTGAGCAAACCATGGGAATAGTGGGACCATAGCAGAGAGCCCAGACTGTTGGGATGGTCCAAATCCAAAATATGTGGTCTCGTAATATTTTTTTTTCCATCTAGATTTTTTTTTATTAGCATCACAAGAATTATAAGTAGCTTTGTAGTCCAATTCTAAGGTGCAATTTTGTGTTCTTGTGTGTTTTTTAGAAGGTTAGTCGGCTGGAGGAGCATGAGAAGGAGGTGGTCAGTGCCCTGCGCTACTTCAAGACAATCGTGGACAAAATGGTCGTAGAGAAGAAAGTGCTGGAGATGCTTCCAGGATCGGCCAGCAAAGTGCTTGAAGCAATCCTGCCTCTGGTTCAGGTGGAGGCGCGGATACAGCACAGGTGAGTCACACGCTTTTGTAAAACACTTGATAAAAAATGTAGGTCAGTGTTTGAAAGGATTAATTCCTACAACTTCAGATGCCTTATAGCACATGTTTGTTTTTTTTTTTGGTTTGTCTTTTTTTTACCAAGACGACATCTTTTAAATTCTTTAAAAGTGGATATCATTTGTCAGTTAACATTACAGGAAACTTTTAGTCTTTACTTGTAGTCTTTTTCCCGCTTTAGATGTATGTAATAATTCACAACGTACCATTGGCCAATTCACTCTAATTCTTGCCTCTTGACGCAGTTTATTACGTATTTGGTTACATGTTAGGACTAGCATGACGTTGACTACCACCCTCTGAGTAGCTTGTGAAGATTGATACTATGCTGTGATAGATGACATCCCTCACCTCAAGGCTTCCTGAACTCCATACCTGAAGCTTTACATGTTAGATTAATGTGTTTCTTGCTGTTGATGTCTCCCTATTATTGATTGTCCCACTATTACCTTTGAGAAACAGAAACTACTTTAATCTTTCTGATATATCAACGAAATAAGTCAGTTTGTTTTACTTCCTCTACAGTTTCAGTAAACGCTTTCTGGGAAAGTAACCTTAGCCGCAGTTTTGTTTCGACTGTCAGGACATGTTGGAACTTCTCTGTCTTTGTCTTTGTGCCTTTCCCCATCCATCAGTACAGATGAAGGTATGGAGGTCAGAGGTGGCAGATTTTTTATCTCGCAGCACTCTGTTTAGAAGCAGTTGATGGATTGTGGCTGTAATGCTAAGAAGCAGCCATCTCTGAGGATTTGACCTCAGTCTCATGGAGTCAAATCCCAATAGATTACAATAGAAGTTTAGTGTTTTGCTGTAACCTTAGGCTACATGCAGCAAGCTCAAAATCGTGGCCACAAGCCAGTTATTTCACAACTTCAGCACAGATGTTTGTTTGGCAAATAAGCTAAGGTACATCAAATCACTGTTGTGTGACGATGTTATTGCGTGAGTAACTTTTTGGAGATAAAAAGCTCTTTCCATTGAATAAAAAAGCACATTGTACAACTTTGCTAAATTTTGCAGTGATTTAAATCAATATTGATTAACTAACTAGGTCAGCAGTGAATGCAACTCCTGCACCCTGCAGTGTGGTTTGATTAAAGTGCTTATTTGCCGAAAGGTTAGTTATCAGTCTATACATGCTCTAGTCATGCTGACTTGGCACACAAAGCTGCCGATGTTATTATAATCACACTGTTTCAACCCAGCTCTGTTATAGCCTATAGCATTTAGCTGTGCATCCCTCAAATCCTCGTGGTAGCCCCTATAGCTTCAGTTGTCTCCTACTTACTTTAGGGCTAAGCCGTACAGAGACAGTGGAACAATATTCCAGCTCTGTGAATCAGCTGCAGCGTGTTGGCACAGGCCTTAGCCACACCTTAGTGTTAGGTCTGAATGCACAATTTGCTACAGGGAGAAACAACACCCCGCTTCCCTCTGTGGTTATACATTCTCCTGTCAGCACTGGCTGACTTATTCCAACCCCCCCAGCTTGTAGTAGGGTATTTCTGCAGTCCCTCAACAAATGCCCCAAAAATGTGTAGTGTAATAGACGGCCCGTTAGATAGATCGAGATGAGTGACATGTTCATGTTTCTGTGATTTTTCTCACTTTCTGTCTAACATCTGCTTGTCTTTTTTTTTTCTCTTCACACCCCACTGCTGTGTTGTCTTGAATTTTTCTACTTTCTGCACCTCTGGTTTCCACATCTTCTCTCCCTTCCCTCATGTCCTTTATGTCTATATCATACATCATATTTCGTTCTTTCCTTCCTGAATTCCTCTTGCCTCTACTTTTACCCTCGCCCAACCTCAATCTCGCACCTTTTCAACAGTTCGGCGCTGTCCTCTTGCCATAGCCGTGTGTATCAGAGTCTGGCCAACCTTATCCGTTGGGCAGACCAGGTGATGCTGGATGGCATCGACTTGGAGGACAAGGAAAATGTGGCGTCTGTCACCACTGTCATCAAAGCAGTGCTGGATGGAGTAAAGGTATGCTGACAGAGGAAATGCTATGTTGTTGGCAGTGTCCTCCTGCGGTGTATTCATAGAGGCTGAAACCGGCTATGCTGTCTTTTTGTGAACAGGAACTGGTGAAGCTGACCATAGAGAAACAGGAGCAGCCATCACCCACAACCCCTAACAAACCGGCACCACCTGCTACCACAGCAGAGAGGTGAGCTCAAAGTGTGCTCTCAGGAATACAAACATTCAGACGCTCAATGTAGTTCATTTCTCAGACAGCTTTTATGTGTGTAGCAGTGTGTCATCGGAGATGCCCTTGATAGATCGGGAACAGGAGGTCTCGAATAAGCCAGCTCCGGCAGCTACTCCTGCAGAGGCTGCCCCTGAAATACCAGATGAGGACGTGGCCCCTCCCAAACCCCCTCTTCCTGAAGCCAAAATGGCAGAGCTCAGGTGAGGACAATGCAGGCTGCCTCTGCAATACTCTGCATTCTCTCTGAATAGAAATGCTTTTTAAAGTGACAGTTAATACGGGGCTGCTGTATTAGTTCTGTTCTTAGCCCTGAAACTTCTACTTTGGCCTAAAAGTCCCTGAGAAGAAGTGGTTTTGTGTTTTCCCGTTGTGGCTTGGTGGTGATGTGGTCACAAAAAAAAAAGTTTTGTGACCTTTTGCACTATAGTCACAAAAAACAGAAGCGCCCGTTCTGCATTTATTCGTCACAGCTGTTTCACTTAAAGTTGAACTTATCTTAAAAATATATTCTGAAAATGTTTCATGCGCAAAAAATGAGGAATAAAGCAGGCTTTTAGGATATGAGTAAGGCAGGGGTATTTCTACAGATTTCTTTCATTTTCGCTGCTGGGTTTAACGTATTTTGATGTATTGTGTATTTTCTGATGTAGTTTCTTGGCTCTCGCACAACTTTCACACTTAAGGCTTAAAATCTGGATCACTTTTGTGTGTTTGTTGCTCTGCCTCTTCCTTCCTTACTCTTTCTGCTGTTTCTCTCAATTTTTTTTTTTTTTCCATCTTTGGTTTCCCTTTGGATTCTGGAAACAGAGCACAGTTGAGTGCTGACGCTGGCCAAAGGAGACCCTCTCAGAAGGAGAAGTATGTTAGCCTGTAGGATCATCCGTCTCCATAATAACATCCCACCCTAGACCCCCCCATAAAGCTTCTGGATTGGATGAAAGTGTTTTTTTGATTTGCATGGTTGCATTATCCTAAAGTTTGTGTTATCCTGGGTATTCCCTGAAGAACCTTCATCATCCAATCAGAAGACCGTCCCGTGCATGAGAGTGTATGACTGAACTATGAAGTGTCTTTTCGCTGGCCCCCATTTCATGGTCGCTTATGTTCGCTCGTCGCCCCATTTTGACCCGATATTAACTCACTGAGAGAATTTAGGTTTGACAAGCAGGATGCCTTCATGTCATAGCTGAGAGAGGCTAACATGAAACACCCTCACTCTCATCTCACTATTCCACAGGAGGGATGATACTGCGTGTGTTCATGTATCTATACATGGATTTTTGTGTGCATACATGTCAGAAAGTGTGTTCTGCGTGCTTGCCTGATTGTCCTTTTTAACTTTGCCTCTGAGATGAAAACACCCAACATTCCTGTTTTTCTTGTTTTTTTGATTTTAATTCTGCTGTTTCTTTTTATCTGTCAATAGTCCTCCTCCAGCTCTTCCCCCTAAGAAGCGCCAGTCAGCCCCTTCGCCTACACCGGTGGCCGTGGTAGCCCCAATGAGCCGTGGCTCCAGTCTGCCGTGTAGCGACCACAGACAGGTGAGGGATTAACTTAATGATCCATTATGGCATGCCTTCAGTTTTAGTTTAAGACCATATCAACATAATTCACAGGAAATAAACCAGCTATTAAGAAAAAGGAGTGTAATTTAAATCTTTCTCTGTGTGTGTGCTGCCTCAGGAGTACGAGCAGGAGTTCCTGCAGAGGCGTTTCTCGGGGGGGAGCCACTCCTATGGTGGCGACTCTCCACGTCTTTCTCCGTGCAGCAGCATGGGGAAACTCAGCAAGTCTGATGAGCAGCTTTCTTCCATGGAGCAGGACAGTGGTCAGTGTTCTCGTAACACCAGCTGTGAGACGCTGGGTAAGGATGAAAGACGAAAAACTGGGTTTCACATTTTGTCAAATCTGAATCTTCAATTATATGAACTTAGCAGTCCAAATCCGTTTAAATTTCATCAGGTATAGCTTTCATTGTTTGCAAGTAAATTACATCACAAATAATAAAGAACTAAAACTTACTGATTTAATTTAGATCTGTAATCGGGTGTAGTGGTGTTTTTTAAGGGATTGGAGTCTAATTAATGCTCACAATCTGTAGCAACAGTGTAAAAAAGCAAAATGAGCAGCATACATTCTGAAATGTTGATGAAATTTATCTAAAACACTGATAGCCTCCTTATTTTGTACAAGTTTATTACTCCAAATAAAAAAAAAATCTATTTGCATTAAGTTGAGAAGCTTAAGATATTGACAGGATGTTCATTTAATGCCATGATCAGTTAATCATCTTTATAAAAGAAGAAGCGTTGTGTTGCTCTGGTTAAACCACAAAAACAAACCATCCATTTGTGAGATACAGACTTGCAAAGACGAGATGAATGGCAAGAAGTTGACGTAACACTGTAAAGGACTCATCATCCTTTAGTTCCATCTGATAAAATCTATGTCTGGTGACGAATGGCATTTTGTGTTGTAGGCGGTTACCCAGCTATTTCCGACACAACTTGGCGATGAAAAATGAAGAAAGAGAAAAAAACACTTAGATAAGAGATATGTCTGTTTCTGAGAAATAGAATCCAGATATTATAACCAGGTACCACATAGAACATTTGTAAAGCTATTGGATCTCAAAAGTTGGCAACCCTTTGCTCATGTGCACTGGGTCATAAATATTATTCATTTCATATATTATGTAGGTGCTGAAGTTAACATTTCTGCCTCAGCTAAGTGTTGAGTATCAATGTATGATAATGAAATTGAAGTAAATGTTACCATTTCTTTACCTTTCAGACAACACAGAGAATTACGACCCGGACTATGACTTCCTCCACCAGGACTTGTCGGCTGGGGATAACCTGCCTCCAATACCGGTGGGAGGCTGCCTGAGCCCTCTGCCTGAGTCTCACAGCGAGTCCTCTTCCCCCGTTCCCGGACAGCATCCCACACATCCCCGCTTCAGTGCTCCTCCAACCCAGCAGCCAGAATACTGGACCCCCCAGCCCAATCAAACTAATCCCCTACAGTCCTCCCGCATCAGCGCACCCCCTGCCTTACCGCTGAAGAAGCGACGCAGCACCCAAACATCGCCCTTCCCCGACGGAGGGTCCAGGGTGTTGTATGAGCGCTACCCCTCCCAGTATGACAACCTGTCCGAAGAGGAGCTTCACCCTACGCCACCATTCCCCCTTTTCACACCCATCTCGCCCATGCCTCAGACAAACGGGGGCATGTTCGTTGCCCAGTACGTTGCCAGCGAGAACGCTGATGTCCCCGCCAGCCCACCACCACTGCCAGAAAAGAAAAGCAGACACAGTAAGTGAGGGGAGAGAATGGAATGTAATGAGGGAGCAAAGAAGACAAGAAAGATGGAAGACCTTTAAATGAGATGACTGAATGGAGGGCACAGAGGCAGTGGGAGGCAATGAAAGGGACAAAGAGTCTAGTGAAGGAAAAAAATAAAGGAAGGGATGAGGTTGATTTAGGAAAGGACAGCAGGACACTGGCCGCAGTTCGTCATCAGCTCATTGAAGCGTAGATTATGTCAAGGAAATATTCCTCTGTGAATAGAGGCAGGAAGTGAATACCAGGATGTGCTACAATGGGTCCAGCTCCAGCGGCACAGAGGGCAAAATTTGGTCATTTCCTCACCCACCTGCTACATCACTTCCTCTATAGCTACTGTATTATGTCATTATGTACAGTCAGCCCTTCCTGCTTATTTAAACACATATCAAATCATATCGTATAATTTCTCGTGGCCAACAGTCTTGAAATTGGTTTAAAGGCATATTCCAAATATGCTGTAAATCAGAGGCTGTTCATGTTACCACGCTTCCAGTGAAAACAGCTGTATAAAAGCTTTTTTGTCTCTGAAGGAGCTTTGTCAGTTCTAAGAAAACGATGGTGTCATAGTGATGTCATTGTGGTTATCACATCTTGGGACTGAATGTCTGTTTTTAAAAACTGAAGTTGTGGCTTTTGAATCACAAGGGTGTTACCTACGCAGACAGGGTTTAATGAAAGATGCTAGTGAGTTGAATTCTGGTGAATGTAGTAACCACGATTTCTGGGGCTGGGCCCATAAAAGATACAGAAAGTCAGGATATCTCAGCCTTTGCTTCTTTAATTTTAAGCCTCACAATTTGTGTAGCACTTCATCCCCAGACCGTCTTGTAACTCTAAAAGGGATGTATGAATCTTTGTTTCTAAAATAGGTCCGTTCTTGATTTGGTTGAGTTTAATGGTGTAACACTAAGCAAGATAAGTAATAAATGTTTTATAATCTAATCATGTCTCCCTCCTTCAGTCCTTCAGTACATGCAGTTTGTGGAAGACTACTCAGAGCCACAGCCCTCCGTTTTCTACCAGATGCCACAGAGTGAAAGCATCTATGAACAGCGCAACAAGCGCTTCCAGGAGGTCTACGGCTTCAACGACTCCTTCAGCAGCACCGACTCAGTCCATGAGCCGCTGCAGCCTCCAGCATTACCACCAAAACAAAGACAACTGGTAAGAAACCCTTTCATGTGTATGTTGACAGTCACCCTTTCGAGAAACACAAGCCAGGTTGTTTGTTACTGCACCATGGCTCATAAACTACCACGGCTGCAGTGGATAAATAGCTGGGTTCACTAATTTGAGTGTGTGAGCAAAGCTGTGATTTGAATTCCTGAAATTGTTCAGTTCAGTTACGACCAAAACTTTGAGGGTGTGAAACCTTTATCGATGAAACTATTGATTTATGAGCTTGTACCCGAAATCACATGATATGAAACATTGTGTGCACATGTCGACAATACAAACAACCCTGTGTGGCAGAGCTCAGTGCTGGTCCCAGTATCTTCACACTGGCTGAAAGAGAAGAGTTGGAAAGAATGCATACTGCATTCTGCATCTAAAGTACATTCCAGTGGTAATCCTCATCAATTTTCTCTCAAGCCTCCTCCTATCTTGTTATCTTCCTCACCTATTCAGCTCCTCCTCTCTGCTCTCTCTGTCTCTCTTCTTTACCGTTTTCGTAACCGCAGCAGACATCTGTGCGAACACGGAGGTGTTTGGTCGTTAGTCGGAGATAAGACTAGCCTTTATCAGCCCCACATCAACTCCAGTCCACTTATCTTAATCTGGGTCGGCGTCTGGGTTAATTGAGACAACTGTCTGACAGTGAGTCAGTGGGGAGAGAGCGGTACAGACACGATAGAATAGGTCGTAGCAGGGGAGGGCATACTGTGAGTTTGAAATAAAACCTTTAAAGGCCATGAAAACTCACTTTCACAAGCAGCCTCTTGCTATGAATGATGGAGTCTTACAGTAGCATGCTATTTTCTTCAAAAGTTTCCCATCAAATTTTTCTGAATTTCTTGCTTTAACTTTGCTTCTTTCAACATTTTAAAGTGAGATGTACTCGGGCACAAAATAAGTACACATACTTCTATGCACCTATCAAAGTTCTGCATCATTTGAATTGCAATTTAGTGGTAGATAGTGAATTGTGTGGTCACTGTCAACAACAGCTGTTCAAATTGTACCCACACAGTCTTAATGAAGCAGATCAGCTTGGTTTGAGAGTTAAATAATACCTAAATGTTTATGTAGTCAGGAATATGCTATGGAGAAATACATTTTAAAAAAGATTGCCCCGTGGTTTCTACACGAGACAGTCTTTTCTGTCGATTTGCCCTTACTAAAGCCTGCCAAACCTACTTGAAGGTGACAAATGGCGGTTGTCTTAAAACTTTGTAGTAATATTGAAGACAGCACATTTGTAAACAGATGACACACGTCTCCAGGGTGTAGCTAGATGTACAGTTTCATAGCCCGGGAAAGAAAATAGACTTTGTGGCCGTGTAGCAGTCTGCTCAGACCACCTTCCCTCTCTTTGTCCATTGTCCTCTTTCTGCCACCACAACTGTGTATTTTGAGCCGCGTGCGCAGCTTTTATTTTTATCATTCTTTTGTCTGAGCGTACAGTCGGACTGCACTCATCTCTGCTCCTGCCGCAAGGCCTAATCTGGCCTCATGTTTTGGACTTGATGAGCTCGTGGCCCAGTGGAATAAGCCTGTTTGCCTCCTCCATAAACCCATGTTCCAGGCTTACACGCTTTGGCGACTTTACACGGCTTTGCAAAAAAAAAAAAAAAAAGTCATTTCAGCTGCTGTGTGGATAAGGAAATGGGTGAAAAAAAAAAAAAAGTAGAGCGGATCATATTGGCTCTGTTTAGAACGTGTTGTAGTTGGCCTGGTTTCTGTAAAGCCCTTAAAGCTAAGGACATTAAAAGGTTTATTGGACGGCCACAGTAGATATAAATGTGTGTAACCTGTACACGTCATATGACCCTCCAGGAGTTAGGTTTTCTAGGAAGACTTGAAATAACAACTAACAGTAAATTCACATTTAGTAACACTTAAAACAGCAGTTGTGTGCTCATTCCTGTCGTATTCAGATCTGCAGATTGAGTTGACACTTCTCCACTGAACTACAAAAATCCTCTTCAGCTTTCACCGCTTTGACTTCACTACTCCGCTGCTCAACTTTGATTAAATCTGCTCTAATTCTGTCTTGCTTACTACTGTAATCAACTGTTTTCTTCTTTTCCTCCCTTAAAACCCTGTTTTCCCTCCTCGCCTCTCCTTAACCCCCCCATTACTCTCACTCCCTCTCTTTTTATCTTTTCTTTCTATCTTTTCTTCCTTTATTTGTTTCCCTCTCAGGCCTCCCACTCTTCTTCCCCTTCTTCCTCCTCCTCCTCCTCTCTCTCCTGCCACCTCCAGCCGTCTGTAGCGGCCATGGAGGAGGCGGGCTCTGGGCTGGGCCTCAGCATGTCCGTCTCTAACTCCTACCTGATTGGCCAGGCGTCTTTGACCACACCCACGGTGAGTCGCCACCCGACTTCCAAACTCCCCCTCCCGCCCCCATCCCCTCCCGTTCTCCACTCTGGCGTGGGTGCTGTGTGGTCCTGGACCGGTCCAGGGGTGGCTTGACCTTGTGTGTGCTCCATATGTGATACAGTCTGTTCATCTGCCCCTGCACCTTTGAGGTCTCTGACAGGACCATCCCTCAAGGGCGGGTGGCTTAGCTGCTGTTTGATCCTTAATTTTGTTCATCCACTCGCCCATGTGTGCATTTGTTTTGTTGTGCGTGTGTGTGTTTTTTCTAGCTGAGGCACTAGATATTGTGTGATTAATGTTTGCTTTGCGTGGTCATGAGTGTGTGCAGTTATTTGTTGTGCTTCTACGCAGCCTCTGGCTAGCCAAGTTTGTGTGTTTGTGTGCTGCGCGGAAGCATTCCTCCACATGACAGGTAATTATTTGACCCTGTCCCTGTTTTCATTTTGCCTCAGAGATAGAGTCATTGGCCGCTGTGTCCGAAGCAGCTCATCAGAATATCACAAGAGACTGTTATGCCTTTGTTTGGGGATTACAAATAACAAAATAACCCTTTGTTAGTCAGGCTGGAATGTTTCAACCAACAACAGGTTCTTGTTAATGAATTAGCTTGTGGTTAATCGGTGCTGTATTCCACTCAGTTAGGGCCTGACCCTGGCTACATAGCAGGCCTGACTATGTGTTACAGTGTTCTGGTCAGTATTTTGGGAGGGTTGACCCATGATGACCCTATGTTGTGTGAGGCACGCTAAGACATGGTGCGGATCTCCCTCAGGATATCTGCGGTGGAATGCAGCACCAGATGGACCTGATGGAAAACACATTCCCTCTCTTTCGACTACTGTTTCTTCCGTTCCTCTCTCCTCCTCATTTTCTTCATCTTCCTGCGTCGGTGGCGCTCTCCATTCTGTCCCTCACACTACCGTGCTGTAACCTCCTTCCCCCCCTACATGCACACACACTTCCACACCTCCCGTTTGTCTGTTTCTGTGGAATGTTTGCATTCCTCAACTCCTTGGGGCATGATATTTTTTTGGGGGGGGATGTCATGGGGGGAGGAAAACCATACCAGGAAAGTCTGCTTTTGCATATGTTGAGAGGAAACAGAGAGACATATTCAGTGGTACACAGGATTTCCTAATTTAACTAGAATCTTAGAGACCGTGGGGGAAAAAAAGAATGAGAGGCTTTGATTTGTGATCCTCTTTCTGTGCATGAACACGTGCGTTCATTTGTGTGTGTGCATGAGTGCAGTGACTACCAGTGAACTGTGTATGCGCCGCTCTTGGCTGGTGTGCTGAAACAGGGCTGGTATGTGAAACGTGTTACAACAGGTCACCACTACCTCCCTGCTGGCAGGCATCTCTTCAGCTGGCCACACACCAACACACATTAAGACGTCTCTTGTGTAAACATATATACATAATCAGAGTTGATGCTCGCATATTAATGTCCTTGTTAAACATTGCTGTGTTATTATCTTCCGTGTTATCATCATTGGAGATGTTTCTATTGTCACTGCTTCCACTTTTTTTGGGTGTATGTGTGTGTACAGTACATTTCATGTTCAGGCACATCACTGCCATAGTCCAGGCTTAAATTAATGGAGGTGTTGGAGAATGAGGTGAACACTTTTTTTTCCTGCCTCTGCTTCCTATTGTTCAGCTTCTTTTTTTTTCTATCTGCTCTGCCTTCTTTCTAATCTCTTAGTCCTGTCTTTTATTATTATTATTATTATTTTCCCTCTTTCCTGCTTTCGTTCTTTCCACCAATCACAGAGCTTGGACCAGGTTGCCTTGACCAATGCCACCATTCTGGATGGCAGCGGGGGCGGGCCCAACGGTTCCCTGGGTGGCTCAATGGGCTCTGTGGCTGTCTGTCTTCCTTCTGAGTCTTCTCTCACTGACTCTCTCCACACCTCAGCGGTGAGCTTACGAAAGGATAGACATTGGAAGCACAAGCAGGATACTTACACGAACCAGCTCTCTGAGACTCTGATATTAAAATGTGACACTGGAACCCCTTCCCTTGGCAGATTGATGTTAGATTACAGCTGTTTGGCGTTCAGTATTGTTGCTCATATGATAATATAGTGACTCATTCACATAGTGGCATCTTGTTGTCATTATCACTGCCCACAAACTGTCTGCTGTCTGATTATTGGTCTAAAAGAATCCCAGTGGAGCATGTTGCACTGCATGTTCTTCTTGCCAGTAAATACTATTACCTCTTTATATATGATGCGCTCCAGTGCCACCTGGTGGTCATGAGGATGCAAAGCTGGAAAAACACACCGCTCACTGTAGAAAAGCAGACCTCGGCTAGCTGCTATCTCTCTCTCCCTTAGCCACATACTCCCACTTCACACCTGCTACACCCTTAGCAAACACCCTGTGCCCCTCTCCGCTGCCTTACGCCTCGGTTTGTGTCCCTCCTCTTTTCCCGTAGAGCGAGAGCGCGAATGACGAGGGCGGGGAGGGGGAGTATGTCAACTTGTACTCATCCAGCCAGGCCAATGGGGAGCTGCCTCTCCCCCTCAGAGTAAGTAGCTGACTGCCACGGGTGAAAGGTCAATTCCATTTCTACGTCGCGTCTCTTCAGGGGTATGAATCAATTCGAATGCGGCGAGGGATTTGGAGTAAGGATTGCCGTTTGGGTGGCAGATGTCGCTCTCACATCTGTTCGCACCGAGCAGCTCTTATTGATTCATCTCCTGGACGGATTGGCGCTGAAATGGAATGTGAATGTAGCCAAACCTGACTGAGCATGACTTCAGGTTCACGGGTTTGCCTGCAAGGGACTCATGTGCTCTGGTTGGTGTCTGTGGAAATGATGTCCATGTGTATGTTGTTTTGACTGCCTGGCTGGTGATTGCTGTCTCTCTGGCTGTGCTTCAACTATAACGAGCATTTAACCTTGTTCCGATCTAACACCTGAAATGTCGCCGCTCCAAAAAGGGATTCTCAATGGTTCACCGGTTTTCAATTTTCCAATAACATTCCCCGTAACAATTTATGTGCACCTGTGCATGTGTGACAGCTTATGTCTGTGTGTGTGTGAGGCTGTATTTGTATTCCCGTGAGCCACTTTGTGCATTTGGGGTGTACTGTAGGCATGTTGGGTGAGGTTTGTGCAAATGTGAGAGAGAGAAAGAGAGAGAGAGCAAGCAACAGAGACAATGTGTGATTGCATTTTGTCGATATACAATTGGTGCGGTTTCGGTGCGAGTGAACTCTACCTTCTGGTGTCATTCTTGTTTGGGACTCATCTGTCGGGTTTTTCCTTTGCTCAGACTGAGGAAAAGCTGCATTTTTACCCATCAGCCCCTTTACACCTGTTCTGTGTCAAAACTAATGGGGATAACATCCTTTGTAAACCTGGTGATAAACGTCTGTACGGAGCATCCGTCTTCCCCTTCCAACATGTTGCATGAGATCCCGGTGGTTCATATCTCATCAGTAGCCGGCCTCCCGTCACTGCATGGAACCATTCATCAATGATGTTCCATGTAACCGCGCAGGGGTTGATTATTGTTTTTTCCTCCATTGATTAGGAAACGATTGCAGCTGATGATGTGCTCCAAGACCCCGCCCCTCAAACACCATCCACCAATAACAAAGAGGGTTTGGACAAGGAAAGGTAAGGGTTGTAATGTTTACATGCCATCAGTGACACACACTTGGTATCAACTGTATGTGCAGTGTGTGTTTTGACGAATCTTTGTAATGTACTTTTTTTGTAAATGGGCTAAAACTCATCAGACATCTTTTATAGTTTATTCTTCTGAGTTGATCATATTTACAGACTCCTGTAAAAAGAAAAAATCTTCACGTTTGAGAAGATAAAACCAACACATTCTTACCATTTTTGCTTATCAAAGACGACTTAGTTGCTACAACAGATGCCCATCAATTGTTTCAGCTCTAATGGGCATTGGTGCTGTAGACAAACCTGAGTGTTCCTGTGTTGATGATGTTTGGCTGTGTGTGTGTTTCAGGAGGCAGAAGTCAACGGAATCGGCTGGGAGCGATGAGGAAGACGTGGACGAGCTCTCCCTCATAGACCACAAGGAGATAATGAGCAGGATAACACTAAAACAAGAAGTAAGGCTGCTGATGCTGTGTACTGTTTTTAGAAAACTGCTATGACAGAACTGTGCAGCAGCACCAGCATACAAAGCACATTTTTATCCTGTTAGTCCGGCTCAGGCTAAAGGTCGCTGTGAGTCATTCAGATGTGAAATCAGATCCGGAGATACACCACTGATAGCCATTGCTGCCCTCTGGAGTTAAGTCTCTGAAATTGCATACCTTAAACTGACAAACCACCCTCCTCCTACTCCACCGCCGCCGCCGCCGCCTCCTCCTTTGTCCTGTGTGGTGCAGTCTGATATACAGATGTGTGAAATTGCTGCTCGCCACTCTGCAAGGTTAGGGGCAATGTGACAGCAATGATTTACAAAAGGAGATGGGAGGGAGATCAGAAATGCAAGAAGGCAAGATTTATATCCCGTCATGACATTTAGAGGTGCTGTAGAAGAAATATTGCAGGGGTGGTGATTTTATCATTCACAAGTCTGACTTTTTCTTCGTCATCAGAGGAGCTGCTGCAGGACAGGGAGGGTTGAGAGGGGGGGAGAAGGAGGAGGAAATGTGTTTGCTACGTTTTGGGCTAGACTGCATCACTCCACATCTCAACCACCTCTACATATTTGTGTCTGTTTTTCATTCTCTTTAATCCTCCGCACCTCATTCACTCTTCTTAATTTTCCCCAGAATGACGATGGTCCTGATGTTCGTGCTGGATCAGGAGATATTCTATTAGTCCACGCTACAGAAACAGACCGCAAAGGTACAGTACAGCACACGTTAAGACTCGTATCTGTGCAGTATGTTACTGTGCTTCTGGGTCACTGGCACATCTCTGTTTGGAAATCTTGACAGATTTGCATTCGTTTTCTATTCAAAGACAGATTTATGTTTATTTGCTAACTATGATTCTTTAGATCGACTGATGTGCTAATACTTCTCCGAGTAGCATTTTAAATAGCCTCAGTCTCTCTGTGGTTCAATTATATGCAGTGTGTCAGTCTAGCTATGTAGCTTTCACATTTGATGATGTGCTGTCAGCTTTAATTAGTTAACTTGGAACATTGGCTGCATGTCAACTGAAATGTGCTGCCTTTTCCTCTTGTTTTTGCTCGACAGATCTTGTTTTGTACTGTGAAGCCTTTCTGACTACATATAGGACTTTTATAACCCCAGAGGACCTCATTAAGAAGCTACACTACAGATATCCTTTTCAAATCACTAAACATGTCACTCTGCGCTTAATCACTTTTTTGTTGGCAGCAGGCTGTTTTTCCCACTTTAATCCTTATTTACCAAGGAAAAGCTTGTTTATCTTGTTTGCTCTGATTCAGGGTCTTTTAGTTTAAAGCGCTCAAAGATCGAGACCTCCAGTTGAACTGTAATCCTCGATTGACGGATACTGACGTCTAAATTAACAGTGAATGTATTGTGATTGTGTTCTTTGTCTGTTGTCACTTCGGTAGAGAGTGTGTCATGAACTCTGACCTTGAGGATTGAGCAGAGGAAGTGGGAGCAAGGAAGACAGTGGACCTGGCATATGCTGACTAACTATGCCAACGAGTTAAATGTCAACAATCTTTCTTTAAACTCTTCTTTCACACAAATGATTCAATGATTCGATTGTAATCTGAGTTTAGTTTTGACTTAACAAGAAATGTAAACATGCTACCCTGAGCTGTAGGAAATTGTGATAGGCAGCGCTTTGTCGTTTTCTGACATTTTGAAGAGCAAACAGTTAATAAACTTATGAGAATATCATCATGAGCAGAAGAACTGGTAATGCTGCGATAGTGAGTTGCAGCCCTGTTGTTTTTACTGTGTGAATTAATGAGCCACACAGTAGCGACAGTGATAACTATGCAATGATGGATACTGTTTATACAAGGCAATGAGGCTGAGACAGAAGGAAAGTGCTTTAAAAACCACAGGGTTGTATTATACATGCATGCCATAACAAATTAGAACATTTGTAGTACTGCAAGAGATCATCAGAGGAAGGATGCACAATATTTTGAAGGAGCAAAATATCACCTGTTTTGTCTCTATCCCAGCTGACTTAGGGTGAAGGCAGGGGACACCCTGGACAGGTCACTAGTCTATCACAGGGCTACACTTAGAGACAGACAACCAAGCACACTCACATTCACACCTACGGACAATTTAGAATCACCAATTAACCTCAGCATGTTTTTGGACCTTGTTGGAGGAAGCCAAAGAACACAGAGAGAGAACCCACGCTGCACGGGGAGAACATGCAAACTCCACGCAGAAAGATCCTGGGTGTCCTCACTGGGACACGAACCGCCGACCTTCCTGCTGTGAGGCAAAGGTGCGCCACCTTGCAGCCCCTATGTATATCATAAAAAGGGAAAAGTAAATGTTGAATTTCTGTGATAATTTTACAAACCTTTTCAAAAGCTGAAAAAACCTGAAATCAATCAAGTGAAAAGACTCTAAATGCAATAGATATTTATTTACATTTTTAATTTGTTTCCTCCTATTTCCTCGGTGTAAACACATCTTGCAGTTCATCCCAGTTCAGCTGAAAATCTGAATTTTCATTACATGACTGTTAGTTGTAGCTCACTCACTAATAAGGTCACGGTTGTGTCAAGGAGCTTAAAATCTTTAGTTTTTTACATGTTTTTTTAGAGCAAACAAGACATTTGAGGCAAAAAAAATAGCAAGACATTTAAGATAAAGTACATTTGATGAAATATCGCAAATCAGTGGTTCAGCAACCGTCAGAAAGTTGAAAATCTGATGATACTTTCTGTTTTTGCAGTTTCTGGTTCTGATAAATGATGTGATTTGGGCGATTTTTTGTTTGTTTTTTATTATTTAAAAACTTTGTGTTTCAAACCTAACAACAGGTTTTTGGATTGAGGTTTAAGTATCATGTCTGAGCACAAGGACGTTACTGAAGGCCGTCACGATGTCAGATTTTCACCACAGGGTTATTGTGGTGAAAATAATTTGCAAAACGATATTATTACAATGTCTATAGAAAATAAAAAAAACATATGCTGTTGTGGAAAATGAATTACTTTCAAAATACAAGTGCCGGGAGATCTATCATGGCACCACTCATTTCACATTTAGATTTCATTGTTCTTAACCACGAAGCACATATACCACGTTCTGCCACAGTCCGGACACCGTCAAGAAGAGAGTCAGCAAGAACACGTTCTTCGTGCTGGTCCGTGTGGTCGATGAGCTGTGGTGAGTAGGACTTGATATTCTGGCTGTGAATCGCTTACACACACCAGCTCCTTGTAAGAAAGATCACACAGTTTGTTCGCACCGTTTCAGTGTCTGAGATGGTTTTGTTTGTGAGTGTCTTACATAAATGCCAGAGGAACAAGGCCTTAAAGTCATCCAAAATGAGATCTGACAAGCTCCCCAGCTGACAATATATTTATAGCAGTTTATATTACATTGAATATATATGTCCCTTTCTGATCAAGCTCTAGAATTTTAAATAGTTTCTATGACTTAGCATTTACAGATCTCCTCTACATCAGAAACCCACTGAAGTACTTTCTTCTTTCCTCTCTTTTGTTCGTGACATCCCAAAATTCACCGTTTAATAACGTCTTCTCTTCTTCTTGTGTCCTCCAGCCTGGTTGAGTTGACGGAGGACATCCTGAAACAGCTCATGGACCTGGTGTTCACGCTGGTGTGTAACGGCGAGCTCAGCCTCGCCCGCGTGCTCCGCAAGAACATCCTGGACAAGGTGGAGCAAAAGAAGCTGCTGCGCTACACTAACTCCCTCAAGCCCCTCGCCGCCCGAGGGGTCTCTGCAAGGTACTGTGGGGGTCAGGAGGTGTCTAAGACTAGTATGAGATGGGCTTGGATAGTGAACTGTTAAGCTGTTCTTACGGCTCCGTACCCTTCAGGATAACAGACAGTGATTGGTTTTATTGCCTTGCAGACTTGCAATCAGAAACCACAAGATTGCACTCATAGAATTTAAAATGATGTAATTATTTCCAGATGATGCAAATGGCTGCCCTGAAAAATGTTTGGGGAATAAAGCTTGGTGTTCTGTTTTAATGTTGGATTCCATGGAAACCACTTAATCAAACAGCTATTTTGCTTTCATCGGGGTGGGTTCTGAGATTGTTTCCTCTCCTCTTACATACACTCAACTGATCAGTCTTGTAAATCAGTTCTTATTTCGTAATCTACCAGAGAGAGAGTACAGCTCAAACATGAATGTCCCCATTTGATGCACAGTTTCAGATTACAAGCGAATTTGAAGCTATGTCTTTGTGTTGTTTCTTTTTTCTGACCTGCAATAACAGGCAATATAGAGTAGTAAAAAATACTAATACAGTGGGCGCACATTCAAGTCATATAATATAAAGCTAGTAATCTTCAGATTTCCACCGAAAAGGCAATGAAATGTAAATGATGCTACATGTCATGACCTTCTTGTTCAAGTTGTGTATAGAGTGTAGAACCTAAATGCAGCCACAGAAACAGTTCACGTAAATGAAACCAAACATGATCAGGATCAGAGACATTCAGGACAGACAGTTTGAAATGGTTGGTAGGCAGATCAGTAACAGGCAGAAGGTCAAAAACACAAGAACAGGTGGCTGGAAACAAATGGCAAATGGCAGCATCAGTATTCTGGCAGTGGACAGGTGGAGACGAGCCAGTAGACAAGGTGCTTTTCATTACGCTAGCTTGTCTCCTTGCTTCCTCTCATCTAAGCTTCTCAGGATACACCAGCGTTTCCTCGCTCTAAGGACCTCTTGAAGCATAATGTTTCCTCGTCTCTTCAAAATACATTAAATTTGAAAATCCTTTACGGAGGTGGAGGAAAGAGGGCGAGAGGAAGCATAAGGTGGCGTAACAAAAAGCACGCCCAGTATAGTGGAACAGGTGTGAAGGAGGGCAGGGAAGCTCAGATGAGAGGGAACGGAGCAAAGTCCGGGGACATCTGGTGGACAGAGTGAGAATGGCAGCAACTGGAAGGCTTCATGGGAATGCAGGGTTTGGATAAGTGGGAATGTGGCTAAAGAGAGTGATAGAGGAGCAGAATGAGCAAAAATAGCTGTTACTAAATATATAATATGTACACCTAGTGGACACAGAAAGTTACAAATGACCATAAATAGAAAACAGTAGATTAAATCTGCAGTCTAAAAGCTGAATCTGAAGACATCGCCTAATAGCTTGTGTGTTTTAACAGGCCTGGAACTCTTCATGACTTCCGCAGTCATGAGATCGCTGATCAGCTAACTCTTCTCGATGCTGAACTTTTCTATAAAATTGAGGTACGTCGTTTTCTTTGTGTCAATCCTCTCAATACCTGTCAACGGATTTTGTCCTTTGAACGTTATCTCGTCAGTCTTCTCCAACTTTTTCTAAACCGTTCTGCTCTGGTTTTCCTTTAGATTCCTGAGGTTCTGCTTTGGGCCAAGGAGCAGAATGAGGAGAAGAGTCCGAACCTGACTCAGTTCACAGAGCACTTTAACAACATGAGCTATTGGTGAGACAAAAACCACAGTCTTGATCCGATGCCGTAACGCTCAAATCAGCGCCTCCTTCTCTTCCACTGATGTTAAAATGCTGACACCCTGCTGTTTGTTTCTGTTTCTGCTGCAGGGTCCGCTCTTTGATAATTCAGCAGGAGAAAGCCCAAGACAGAGAGAAGCTGCTTCTCAAGTTCATTAAGATAATGAAGGTTGGTTACCACACTTTAAAAGATATAAACTCATGTATTTTTTTTATAGCATTTGACTTTGATGTATTTTTTTTATTGCAGCACTTAAGAAAGTTGAATAATTTCAACTCCTACTTGGCAATACTGTCCGCCCTGGACTCGGCCCCCATCAGGAGATTGGAGTGGCAGAAACAGACCTCAGAGGTGAGAGGATTGTTAGGTTGGGATGAGATTTTATTTTTTTTAAACAGATGTCTCATCCAAAGCTGGTGCAGCGATCAACGTTTCTAAATCTACTCTCCTCTCATTGATTATCGATAAGTATCATACATTTTCTCTCACTTCTCCTTCATTCTGGTTCTCAGGGACTGGAGGAGTATTGCACGCTGATCGACAGCTCCTCCTCCTTCAGAGCATACAGAGCTGCTCTGGCTGAAGTGGAGCCGCCGTGCATCCCGTACTTGTGAGTGATGTTCAGACTCATGTGGGTCACCTGGCGCTCGGTCACAACTTGACTCATTCATTTATTTCCTCCTACTCCTCTCCGCAGGGGTCTCATCCTCCAGGACCTGACCTTTGTCCACCTGGGGAACCCCGACCTCATCGACGGGAAGGTCAATTTCTCCAAACGCTGGCAGCAGTTCAACATTCTGGACAGCATGCGCCGCTTCCAGCAAGTGTAAGTCCACTGGGATGCATTCACGAAAAGAGATATATTAATAGAAGGCTTTCGAAACATCAATCACAGCAATAAATGTCATCGTTTATTTGCCACTGGCAGCAACTATAATGTGTGTCTACTTTGTTTTTGATTAAATTTTAATACCATAAAACATTGCTGTCATCTCCACATGGTTTGTTTGTTTTCTCAATAATGAATTACAGCATTTATCAAACCTCTTTTGATCTCAGGCATTATGAGCTGAAGCGCAACGAAGACATCGTGTCTTTCTTCAACGACTTCAGCGACCACCTGGCGGAGGAGGCCCTGTGGGAACTGTCGCTGAAGATAAAGCCCAGAAACATTGCCAGGCGTAAGACGGACCGCGAGGAGAAGACCTAGGGCCCGTGGGCCTCCGACACTGACCTCCAACTGTGCTTCATGACACTAACTCCACTTTACTACAGACTGAGAGAAAGACGAATGGAAGCTATCCGCTGAAGCTAACGGGAGACTCATTGTGTGGAATCCAGAACAAACTACAGACAACTGAAGCGTCGCCGAGGTTTACAAAGAGCTCCGCTGCTCTGGGAGATTATAATTGGGATGACTTGTGGCTCTGGCGTTTAGACGGGGGAGAGATTCAGTGACTATGGTGAAACGAGAAGAAGCCTGGTGCCAAGGAGGGGGCGAGAAATCACACAGAGCGGACAGGGAGACACTACGGAAACGACCAAAGTCTGCTCCCTGGGCTCTCTGTTTTAGAGTGGAGCTGTTGCGTGTGCGTGAGATTGAGCTGAATGGTCCATAACTCTCCCAAGCCGCTCCTTCCCTCTTCCTTATGTATGTGCCATTTGTTGGTCATCTTCTGCAGCCCTCTCCCCGAGTTCCCCTCGAACAGCAGAACCTCGAGAGCAACCTGCCGAGAACTGTGAAGTCAACGCGCAGGCTGCGGGCCCGAGAATCTGCTGTGGACGTGAGGGGATCTGAACTTGAAGAGAAGATGGCCATTATAGACTGGAACCTACGAGTTTGTTTTGAAACATTTTGTGTAAGAATCATGTATGGTTATGATATGTATTATATACAGTGCTCCTTTTGTTCTTAAAAAGGATGTTTATGCTTATGAGAAGAGCTTAGCTTCTCCCAAGTGCCATACATATGTGCACTAAAAAAAGCAAAGCAAAAACACAAAAAGATAAAATACTAAAGATGCTGTGATCTATGTATGTCATACTGAATCATTGAGTGCCGTGTTCCAGTGTAGAGAACCATCAGGCAATCACAATCATGTCCCAGTCATGTCGGTGTGTGAAAGAGTGTTTGCGTGCGACTGAAGTCCTCAGTGACTTGTGTGTTTGTCATTCCAAAATGTGCTGTAGTAAATCATTCGATTCCTTTTTGGGATAATGGTCAGAACCAACACATCACACTGTGCTCTCAGACTCCAATAAAACAAACAGCTCTGTTTCTATACACGCTGTGTTGGTCAGGAGTTTCATTTACTTTGTCAAAATTCAAACGACGCTTAAAAACTTCAGAAAAGAATTTCCATTTATTGTTGTACAGAAACAGAGTGGAAAGTGAACATAAAAAAAAATACAATAAGGCAAAGATTCAGCATTAAATAATGAAAATGAAGCACTTGGTATCACATACCACTGAAATACATCTGGCCGTGACTTATTTTAAACAGCAACAGGGAAAGCAAAACAACTACATAGTTTTATATTAATATAATTTAAATATATTAATCTCAAAGCAACAAAGCATGAGTCGGTTTAAGTAAGGTGCAAAAGCATGACTGAAATGAAGCATTTAAATAACATTTCCTGCCATCAACGAGATAATTTCAGTAACGGGTCGTGTGACCACAGTTAACATTAAAAAACCAAAAGGTATCATGGAAGACTGTTAGTTGTGAAATAGAAACTTAACATATTGGTTATGCACCAATATTTACAGTAAAAACGATGAAAAGGTTGCAACCGTAGAGTGCTTGAGATCGTGGACAACATTTAAAAAGGCTGCAGAGGGTGAGATGCTTTCTGACCCACTCTGCACAAATCAGTAGCAGCAAATCCAATTCAAAGCTCATATTCACAGTCTGAATAACCCGTCTTCATGCATCCGCGTGGCCTCAGTGAGGCCGACTACTGGGCTCCAGAAGGACCCTCTTTCCTGGAGGGTTAGCGGCGCCGTTCTGCAGGTCGCTCTGCTCAGAAATGGCCCGTTTGAAACCGCGTCCGTGACCGTTAACGGATCCACGCTGCCATTTGCAGATGTCACCGTTGAGAATATCTTGGATGTGCTGAACAATGAGGTTGATGGCCACTGAATAGAGAGAGAACAAGTGAACACTTTAAACATCCCTGAACATGAGTTCTTGGAAGAACATCTGTCTTAGAAAACACTCTTACCCATGTTGTCAACTCCTCTTGGAATGATGACATCAGCATACTTCTTAGTCTGGAGAAAACAAAGTATACCTTATAAATAAAGTCAGGTCTTGCTTGATTATTTCTGCTTTATTAATAAGCACATAACTAGGACTGGCCATCATACTTACAGGCAAACAAAACTCCTCAAAAGCAGGCTTTACAAACGTTGTATACTGACTGAGGATCTGCTCCAGGTCTCTCCCTCTGGTCATGTCTCGCAGAACTACAGAGAAATTAGGTGAAACTGTTGATACACTGTGACGACAGCCAGAATAACGTGTGTGAGGGAGACATCAGTACCTCTGCGAGACAGTCTGACATCTGAATCTGTGTCCACAAACAGCTTCATGTGAAACATGTCGCGCACTTTCTGAGGGTAGAAAACGAGGATCCCCTCAAAGAGGACCACATCTGCTGGGTAAAAGGTGATCCTGTCTTCCAACCTATCAACACACAGACATGTCAGACAAAGATACTGGAAAAGGGTAACAGGGGATTTTTCATCAATGTCTCCTTCCTACCTGGAATGGGTGACAAAGTCGTACGTTGGCACCTCAACCACCCTGCCCTCCACAATGTCCTTCAAGGTTTTGTACATTAACTCGTTGTCGAATGCCTCTGTAAAACATTAAACAGAGACTGTAGAACTTAACTGATGAATTTACTCGAAAACAGAGCCAGTATCACCTTCAAACACAGTAAACTGATGCAGCCTTCATTGAAGTACTGTTTGCAGTCGGTAAGTTGGCGTCAGGTGAGTAAATGTGGTATGAAGTCTTTATTATGTCACACACACAACTTGTTTACATACTCTATGTTATTCAACTTGTTCTTTGTCAACTGCTAACAAAAAATGCAAAATGTCTGCTAAATATGTTTACTTCAAAATTTGTACAAGCTCTAAACATCTGGTAGCTTCGTGCAAAATAGATCCCAGACCCATGGCATACTAAGAATGACATACTAAGCAACTAGGGGTGCAACTAACAATTATTTTCATTATTGATTGATCCGTCAATTATATTTTTCATTTGTCACATAGTTGTTTGGTTAATAAAATGTAAGAAAATGGTCTAAAAATATCAATCAGCATTTCTCAAAGCCCAAGGTGACGTTCTGAAAAGTCTTGTTTTGTCCACAAACAAGTCATATTCAGTCTACTGCCAAAGAGGGGGTCAGAACATTTTTGTTCAAGAAGCTAGGATCAGAATATTTTGACATGTTTTTCTTTAAAAAACACTACTCAAACCAATCAACCAATTGTAGAACGAGTTGGCAAGAATTTCATAGCTGACAACCAATCGAATAATTGTGGCAGCTCTGATCTGTATTGGCTAACAGCAGTCTGTGGTTGTGTGTAGTGTGTTATTTGTTCTCCTTCCTGGAGTATGGTATTTGAAACATGATCAAACCACAACTAAATAACGCCTGAATAATTAATATCAACTTTGTTATACCACAATATTAAACTAATATAGCTGCGTCATTAAACAATACAGGAAGGAAAATGTTGATATTGTTCTAAGTTTCAAACCGCGTCCACCCCCATTAGAGTGACTTTACATAAATGCAGGGAGGTGTGTGTGCTGCTGTAATGACTGTAAATAGTGCAGTCTGCAGCAGGGTCCTACCTGGATGATCAAAGTTGTACTGGCCTTTCAGTGCTTTGGCCTTTTGATCTGGAGTCAGGACTCTGTAGAAGCTGTCCTGGCTTATAATAGCCACCTTCCTCTGGCGGTGGTCCACCTTGTTCTGGCCCAGCAGCTCCATGATCTTGGCGCAAACTGTTGACTGTAGCAGAAAACTTATGTCACTACACTGTAGTTATTATTCATGACCTACAACAACGCTTTGTTAGGTTAAAGAAGAGCAACCATGAGATAACATATAGCTTGTAATAGAGTCCATAATAACAGAGGAGAATAAAGTCTCTGTGTACAGTGAAGTGTAGCATCAGTGACCTTCTGAGTTCACTGTTTATCAGCTGACTGTCAAACAGAACTGACCAGCATGGTACAGCGGCTAGTTAGCAGTAAGAAGCTCTGTGGCGCTAAAACACCACAAAGCGGTGGCGACACACGCAGTAAAAATGAACAAAGCATAAATTCAGTGACTATTGTGATGGTGAAATAATGTAAACATTGTGTAGACATGTGGGCGTGCCAGCTAGGTTGACAGTTTGATGAATGCTAATGTAGCAACAGACTATGCTAAGCTATCCGGGATGCGAACTAACGTTACACGGCTTGAAAATGACCGACCTTGCCGCTGGCCGTGCCTCCACTGACTCCAATCAAGAAAGGACGATGTCGTGGCCTCTCCCCCTCGTCTAGAGCTCCGAGAGCCTCCATCGCAGCCAGTGGAACAAGAAATACCGCAGAAGTAAAGGTAGCTTGGCGGAATGCTAGCTGTGCTATCTATAACAGCAAGTGTGTGGTTCTCGCGAGATCTGACGCTGTCAACTCCGTAAACTGCTCCTCTGGATCAGCTGGAGGGACGCCATGCTGTTTGGCGCTAGTTTGGATCGGCCAGAGGGACACTCCGGTGATTTTAGTTGTTTATGAGATGCTCCCTGTGCAAACCAGTGTATACAATCGTCTTTAAAATTACTTACACATATTATTCAGCTCAACATAATCATGTAAGAAGAAGAGTTTGCATCCTACAGTTATCAATTTATTTAGAATATAGAATAGCAGATGAATTCTCAGTTTACAGCTGAGACGATGGCAGCGCTTGTTGGTCTTCATTGGGAAGAAGAACTGAGATCTGACCATAGACTGTATAAAAGAGTACAGAATACAGTCTATGGATCTGACCAAGTTTAGTGACACTGCTGCAGTTCTTTTAAGCTTACACACTAAAGTACATGAGGAAAGACCAATTGTTTGTTTGTTTGTTTGTTTACAATGTGTATTAAGAATATTGATTTGGGAATAGATATACAATCTTGTTGAATACCTGCACACATGGAATTAATGGGTGGAAAGGACTGTGAAAATATCCCTAAATATGAGACGTACAATGAGTGTTTAATTTAGATAAAGGGAGGGTAAAGGACTATATTGAAACAGAAAAAGTGGGGTGAGGACAGTGAGGGCTCTTATTAGATGCTCTAACCCAGTCTAGTTGTCTTTTGATTTCAACCCTACATTTGTACCATCTTCATTTTATTTCAGAATAAAAAAAATGTGTGACTTCCTCTCGGCAAAGTATGATCATCCCAGTTTCTTTCTATGCTCAGCCCATGTTCCACATTAAGATCATAGTGAGTGCAGGGAAGCTAGACCAGTTGTTGTCAGGCTGTGTGTTTTGGAATTAGTCCTATTTATATGATTTAAAAACTGGAATCATGTGTAAAGGTGTGCCTTTGACATACGTGTTTAAATGATTTTGATTTAATAATAGTTTGGATGACTAGCCCCTTAGGTATCACAGGAGAAGCGATGCAGTTGTGGAGAAGGAGAAAAAGTTAATTCTCATAGTACCATATCTCAAATAATATCAATCAGACCAAATCTGCTGTCATAACTTATTTACCAAAAGCAACTTGTAATAACACAATAAACTGTGTTTGTGTTGTTGCTTAGCGACTTGTTCCCAGGTAGATACAGGGCTTTTTTTCTTCTTACTTTTGGAAACAAAAAATAAGCAAAAAATAAAAATAAACTCACAGGTATGTGTACACTGTAATAAGACCAAAACTTCAGAACATGTTTTAATAATGCTTTTTACACCTCTCTAATTAAAATGCATCTTTTATGCCATCAAAAGCCGAGTACACCTACAGTCTCCTCCTGTTCTCTAGCGAGCTGTGGTTTCTGACTCAGTGAATGTAAACTTCAGGTTTAAATTTGTTATTTCCACCTCACATTTCAAGTAGTTTTCTCCTCCTCCTCCTCCTCCTCCTCCTCCTCCTCCGCAATCTGCATGTTATTATCTTCAAAATCCCCATCACTACAGACAACAACAACAATGACCTTTGAGCAGCAACCTGGATGCTAAAAATAACAAGTTTTGTCAAAGATGTGGATCATGCAGTAATGCAGCCCTGCTTGTTTTTTTTTTCTTCTTCTTCTTCAGTGAATTTGCTATTTTAATGACAGCAGTGCAGTGTTTCACCATAAAAATTACCTCGTCACTGTTTTTCAGGGACACCAAACTCAGAGGGACAACAGTAAATACCTGATATATATATCTATATATATATAGATATATATATGTGTGTGTGTGTGTGTGTGTGTGTGTGTATGTATATATATATTCTATTTCACAATTACAGGCAAATGTAAACTAGACCCTGCTCTACATACTCCTGTACGGTAGGTGTCAGTATTCGCCTCGAAGTTGGTATTGTAGCTGCACAATAAACAAATCGCAGAAGAAGAAGATGCGCTGCTGTGATTGGTTGCTTCGCTGTTAGCCGCAGCTAGCTAGCTGTGTGTGACTGTAAACACATCAAACCAAACATGACACAGTTCGATAACTCCGTCGACCTGGAGTCTTTTATTAAAGGAGTGGAGGAGGAGTCGCAGACTAAATTTATCACGTTTTCTGTGGACCGCAACTACAACGACAAAGGTAAAAAATAAAAATAAACTGAACAAATGAGTGCTAGCTAGACAGCAAAGTCTAAACAAATGAGTGAAAGCTGTAGAGAGACAAGCCGTGGATAAAGTAACGTTGCTGCTGTGGATTAAAGGTCTGGTGTGTAGGATTTAGGGAGGATAAATGAGCAGAAATAGGATATTATAATTGTAATAATTATTGTTAGTCATGATATATTAATTAATATGTAAACACCTGAAAAAAAAGAACTGTTGTGATTTTTGTTTTTTTCACAATAAAGCCTTTATATCTACAGCAGTGTTTAAACAACAAGTATTTCCATTTCTGATTCATTTGTCGATTCTTTTTTTTTTTTTTTTTTTTTTTTTTTACTAATCTGCAAGTTGTTTGGTCTTAAAAATGTCAGGAAATNACTAATCTGCAAGTTGTTTGGTCTTAAAAATGTCAGGAAATGATTTTTTTCCCCAATGCCCAAGATGATGCCAAACGTTTGGTGTGTACACAACCCAAAGATAGTCATTTAGCTGTTTTAGAGGAAAGAACATATTCAATTTTAAGAGGATGGAATCAGAGAATTTAGATTTTTTTTTTCACTTAAAAAAAACAACAAAAAACTTAGGGAGCAGGTCAGTCACGACCTGATGTAAGTTACACATGTACCATTTTGCAGCATTTCTGTGTTGTGTATCATATTTGCTTTATTTATTTATTTATTTTACAAACCTATACAACATGCCACTGGTTACTCCTGGCTTCTGATGGTCTGTTTAGGTTTTTGCAAGCTGTATACACCTGAGTGTTGTCAACAGAGCAGACTACTTAGTATATTAACTTTGTGTGTCTGTACACGGAGCTCGTTGTGTGTCTCTGCAATATACACTCAACAGAGATATGTATGCAGACTGCAAATAGTCCTATTGTCTGACTTACAGAAAAGGATAATCTAATTGTATTGTTATGCTTAGAAAAAGGTTAAACTTAGCCAATTGTGCATAAGAATCTTTGAGATGTTCAACTGGTGGCAACTTTAACTTTAATCCACACCCTTGTCAGGAAAATGATCCGACAGTGTGACCAGAGCACAGACACTCCAAAACTAGAAACTATAAATTGACACATTAAAATGCAGCTTTATTCAAATAACACAATGCCACAGATAACAGGAGAAAGACAAGGATGGACTGTTGGTATGTTTGTTGGTATGTCTGTTAGGGCCACAGCCAGGAACTTGAATGTCCACAACTCCACCACTTGTCTAAGAAATAGTTTCAGACAGCGTGATACGACAGACAATCTGCCACACCATACTCTGGGTGTTCCACAATGTGATTCTGTCCCCAAAATGTCCTCCAACTTTGCCAAGTCCTTCAGGAACAGTTGGATAGTATTCCATAAGCAGCAATGACAACCTCAGTAACTTATGTGTCATAAATATGTGGCTCATCACTGACTTGTTATATGTGATCTATGTTATATGATCTATGACCTCTCTCTCAATCTGCCCATTATTATTTCCAATGTAGTGTGTACTTGGTTGTTTCATGACGTCCATTCTGTTGTAGAAATGCAGCGTGTTGGATCAACAAATACTTATTGCTCTATGTTAAAAAGTGGTGTAACATTAATTACATTTTATACATGCTGCATTTATGATTTTGTTCACTATGTATGTCTGTTTGTTATTTATGCTGCTACAACAGTGCAGCTTCTGATACCCAGCTTTATTAGATTTTGAATGAAGACAGGCTAATATTACTTTTGGTTCATCCAGCGTTCTTCTAGTTCTTCTGTGTCAAGATCAGTTTACATGTATGTCCCCAGACTGTGAGAAGGTGGTTCTCCGGGTTCTCCGGCTTCCTCCCACAGCCCAATGTGAGTGTGCTTGGTTGTGTGTCTCTAAGTGTAGCCCTGTGATAGACTGGTGACCTGTCCAGGGTGTCCCCTGCCTTCACCCTGAGTCAGCTGGGATAGACTTCAGCCCCCCTCCAGCCAGTCCTAGTTACGATTAAGCAGTGTATAGATAATGAGTGGATGGACGTTTCCAGAATGTATTTTCAACATTTTTCACATTTTGAAGTGTCACATTAGCAAAAGTAAATGCAAATATTAAAAAAAAAAGAAAGGAAAAAAAAAGGAACGGCAACAATTTTACCAAAACAGTTCTTATGCTCGCTTTAGTTTGTTTTTAGGTGTTTTTCAAAAGAATTAATGCACGTTGTGGGACATGGAAACACCTTTTCTAAATAATGTCTGACTTAGCTATTTAATGTTTAACTCACATAACTGATCAGTTGTTGCTGGTTGTTACATTGTTTTTGAATCCAGACCGTATAAAACTTGGCCAATACCAGCTGACATGACAGAGAAAATCTAATTTAAATTGTATAATTTTGCAGTCTTAGCGCTCAGTGTAGGTTCTCTTACAGGACTTTGAGGCAAGGGGTCTTTCAACTGGTTGCAATCTGCAAACTCACCAGTAGATGCTACTGAACTCTACACACTGGTCCTTAAATATGCAAATAAATCAGGTAACAGAAATGATACATTTGCTTGCTAAAGGTCAGTTGTGTTCTTTATTATGCAGATTGGCAACCTTTACCTGCAAACCGGGTCTACTGGCAGTGGGCTGGTGGTTCTGGGATGCCAGCCATTGAATTCACCGGGATCCCATTTATGTTTATGGGGTTTAAAAGACTCGTCTGCCATCGAGGCAAAGACCTCGCCGTGGCCCAGAAGCAGAAGTATGCTGAAGAAAAGGCTAAAAAGATGGTGAGTTGATTCTGCGTTCACAAGACATGCACGAAACTTAAACTTAAAGCACTATGGGATATCTACATCTATGTAATTCTGTTTTCAAACATACTTGTGCATTTAGTATTTTCATAGCTGGTACTGATAAAATGGAAACTACACCAGCTTCTTGTAGTATCCATTCATTAGTTCTATGCTTCCTTTACTGTCACATAATTTTCTAATGTCAACCTTCAGTGTGTTGTGCGTGGACAGTCTACCGGTGTTAACTAAGCGTAGCAAAGACTGAACATATAGAAAATCAATGTAGATGAATTAATTACAAACCACTAACAACTCTTCTATTATTTTACAATTTCCCTCACATTCTGCAGATGTTGGAGCAGAGTTTTGGCAGCCAGAGATTTCTTCGGCAAGCCACAAAAAAGGTGGGATGTCCAGCAGCCATATCAATCAGCAAGATTGCAACATTCCCTAAATTCAAGGTCAGTTTATCCAATTTTGATAGGTCCCGCATCATAATCTAGACAGATATTCTTGGTTTTAGCTTGTTTTTTAGATTGAAAAAAAAAAAAGTGCCCCTAATTAGGCTAGGACAGTCCAGAGCAGACAGAAAAGGAAGATGGGGAAGACTGGGTGTGGGATCAAGAGACTACCCAGACTTTTGTACATGATTACTGTTATTATGTCTTTATACATACATGCTAGGTGGATGACAATAAGGAGAGGAGTAGGAAGACGGCCTCCAAGATGCTGAGAACAGCTTTGGAGAGAGATCCAATCGTATGGAAAACATGCTACGCTGTCACACAGCCAAGTGCGCATTCTGGACATTCAGTGGGAGAAATGGCAATAAAAGAATCGTCACACAATAGAAGACTCAAAAGGAAGAACCCACAGACCACAGACTGTGATTTTCCTCCACGCAAACATGCAAGAAAAACAGACCTGAGGAACAAATGTGTCCACCTCACCAAACTAATCCTGGAGAAAATTTCTGTCACTGAGGACCGACACACCCTCGAGGAGCTTTCAGAAAAATTAAGCACCTTGTTGAAAGACCTCACGCCTCCGACCAGCAGTGAGGACGAGATGCCGCTTCATCTGGAAGCACAGAGGGTCAGAGTTTCATCAGTCATTCAGTCACAGAGGTGCATCGGAAGCCCTAAATCCAGGTACGCAGGCAGAGTGGGTGCTCATGCAGAAAGCATGTGGGAGGCCCACACAGTGCCTGGACCTATTTATACAGTTCAGTTCCTGTAATTCAAAGCACTGTGACATCAAATCAAGTTTATTGTCATTTTGCTGTACATACACAGTAGTACAGACAAGATGAGAGAGCGTTTCTTCAGGATCATTTCATTAGTACGTTTTGCGGAATGCACGTCTGGGATAGGCAAGAAACTAAACGTCCACTCTCGCTGTCTCCAGAAGGGGGCGCCGCCATCGACTTCAACACTCACTGGATTTACTTGTTTGTGTGTAACTCCTGTGTGTGCCTATTTTAGATCACTCCTTTTACAAACCTTTACAAACACCAATGGCACTGCCTGTCGTACAGGTTTCAGTTTCAGTGTTTGTTCTGCAACGAGAACGTAAACAGTGAAACCTTAGATGGAACTGCTCTGCTGTGCCTCTGGTATTTATCGTTATTTGCTCGCCACCTGCCCTCCTAGGTTAGGTCATTTTTAAATGTCATTGTTGCATTTTGAGCATTATGCACTTTTTACATGATGAATTTGCTCAAGTACTCCTTCAGAATACACATTTTTCCATAAAGCTTGTCTTGAACACGGTCACATGTTGGGGAAGCTACAAAGCACAGTGGTGGAAGGTAACTTGGTATTTTTATTCAAGTGCAAAACTGAACTACTTGTACTTTGAGTATTTCTAATGTTTGATTCTTTATACTGATACCCCACTACATTTAGCTTTAGTTACTTTTCAAGTTAAGATTTTGACCTACAAAATATATGAAGAACTTATGATGTGTGTCATAATTTGTTATAGATTAAGCTGTGGGTAGAAGTAGAGCTGAAAAACTTGATTGACTGAAAATTCTTTTTAATATTTTAATAATTCTGTTATTTTTGATAAATAAATAGGTTTCAGGTTTTTAAAATGTGCACATTTTCAGCTTTTCCTTTCAGTGATGTTGTTGGACAAAGCAAAGATGATGATGGTGTCACTCTGAGCTTTGTTTGTGAACTGAAATGTGGGGCATTTTAGCTGCCAAGCAACCTTTTTGAATGCTTAGATCATCATCAGTTGCCTGAAGGTAAAACAACAAATCAAAGCAGAGCACAGGGTTGCTTCAGCTGATCTAATCCAGCACTTGAATATGTCTATAAATAGTTTGAAACAAGTGAAATCCTTTTATAAGTTGTTTTTGCTGTCAGTTTGCTGGGTTTCTAACCATAGTCCCTGCTGTTGAAAACTAACCTCATTCACTCCCTGTTCAAAATGCATGACGACAAAAAACCAAAAGCAATTAAAAACATTTGTATTTATTATTAAATTAAATATCTTACAAGGTACACATACAGAATAAACACAGTATTATTGCTTTTCTGGGTCACTGTCTGGCTTTTCTTTGTCTTCACTCTGCTGTGTCTTGCTGTTTTCATCCACCACTATCTCCAAAGCAGCATCTCCTTCAACCCTCTTCACAGTTTCTCCTTTGGCAGCGAGGATTTCCTCAATGTTCCTGAAGCAACACAAAATGAGTCATTCAGCAGTAATAGATGATGGCTGTCAGTTTCTCAAAGAAATGCCTCTGAACCGCTTGTGCTCCTTGACATTTTTAAAGCGTTGCAGAGATGCTGTTTGTCTAAACCAGAATTTGGGATCTGTCTCAACTCATACCGTCCAGTAAAGCTCATGTTCACTTCTCACTTGTCTCAACTTGAAGATTAAATTACAAGAACATTATCAATGCACTCAGGCAGTACTGGCATCATGTTCAGAGCTGAACTGATTAAGTGTTTTATAACAGTTGTGTTGCTATAGTATCTGCTATGTCTGTCAACAAATAACAAGAAATTGTAGACCAGAAATCCAACAGATATGTCTGAGGTAGTTCTCCCCGTGCACTGTGGGTTCTCTCCAGGTCCTCCAGCTTCCTCCCACACAGTCCAAAAACATGTTGAGGTTAATTGGTGATTCTAAATTGTCCGTAGGTGTGAATGTGAGTGTGCTTGGTTGTCT